TCTTCTCTAAAGTTTATAGAACAACAACAATTTACATAGGTTTTATATTGCATTAGGTATTATAAGTAATCTAGAGATGGTTAAAAGTATAGCAGACATGCTTAGGTTCTATGCAAATACTGTATCCTTTTATATAAGGGACTTGAGCATCCACAGATTTTACTATGGGGGGTGTCTGGGAACAAGTCCTCTCAGGTACCAGGAGACACCTAGTGAAAGAAGGTGCTGAGGATAGAAGGAATGCAGCACAAGTGGCTGTGTAGCTACACGTGACCTTGAGCTCTGCCCAAGCACATTGGTCTTACTTGACAGAGTCAAGTGCCTTTGCTTTAAGGCAGCAGAAGTTAATATCAACTAGAAATCCTGTGTTATCTGCCTTATTTGTAGCATCATTGAATCTTCTTTGAATTCCTCTGTGAGGCAGGACTTTAATCAGCCCTTCTTATGGATGAGGACACTGAGGTTGGCCAAGGCTCTGCAGGCCCTCCCTGGTGGACCAGGTTTCCCACGCCTGTGTTCCTCACATCAGTGCAGTGCACAGACTAGCAGAGAAAGAGCAGCACAGCTTCCCCACTGCTGCTGTTGCTGCCACCACCACCGCCCTGTGGGAGCTGCTGCCTTGTCTGGTTGAGAGCCCGTTGACTATTACTCCTTCATGTTCCCTATATGTCCTGCATACACGCAGCCCAGCTCCATGACCTGCCTGGCACCTCCTGTCTAGCTAAAATAAACAGGAACACTGGCACAGTGGTGCATGCCTGTAGCCCCAACTTCTAGAGGCTAAAGCAGGAGGATGACTTGAGGAGTTTTGGCCAGCCTGGTGCAGCATAGTGAGACTCCCATCTCCAAAAAAGAAAGTTGACAGAGAGGCACAGCACAGCAGGCTTTTTCTGCCCTTGCAGATTGGCTTCACCACAGACCCCCGAATGGCTCGATCCTCACCCTACCCCACTGACGTGGCACGAGTGGTCAACGCACCCATCTTCCATGTGAACGCAGATGACCCAGAGGCTGTGATATATGTATGCAGTGTGGCAGCTGAGTGGAGGAACACCTTCAACAAAGATGTGGTTGTGGACCTGGTGGGTCTGGGGTGCTGGCTGAGGCCAAGGCAGGGGTAGATGGCCCATCCCTGTCATGCTGGGTATGCCTGGTGTTTTGGGGGTTGCTGGAGCCAAGGAAAGGGTGACTATCCCATCCTTGCCTTGCTGAGAAAGCTAGATGTATTAAATGGCTGCTGGGGCTAAAGCAGGGCTTAGTAGCTCATTCTTGCTGGTACCAAGTAAACCAGATAGTTTGGAGTTATTGGGGTTAGAGCAGGGGTGGGAGTCTCCCTCCCTGCTTTGCTGAGCAAGCTGGGTATTTTGGAGGTGCTGAGACCAGAGCAGTGACTGATGGTCCATCCTGACATGCCAAGCTGGTCAGCTCTTCACATCTTCACCACTAAGGGCTAAGAGTGCTTTTAGATAGGAGGGTTAGTGCCACCAAGATCCATCTGCACAAAGGCCTGAGCATGGGGCATTCATTTAATTACAGGTGAGAGCAGGTGCTTTTACATGCCTCAGTGGTGCCTGAGCATGCTCTAGTTTTAGAGCAACTGCACCAAGCACACAGCCTGGGGTAGAGACTGAGCTCCTTGGCTGGCCCTGCAGGTCTGTTACCGCCGGCGTGGCCACAATGAAATGGATGAGCCTATGTTCACGCAGCCACTCATGTATAAGCAGATACACAGGCAGGTGCCCGTGCTGAAGAAGTATGCAGACAAACTCATCGCTGAGGGCACGGTCACTCTGCAGGAGTTTGAGGTAGGCAGTGGGACTCATGGCCACTGGGACAAGCCTTGGACAGAAAGGGAACCATGGGGTGGCTGCAAATGATGACGGCCCAGTGCTAGACATCAAAGATTTAAAGGAGCAGCCAATACTCCTTGACCCCTGGCTATCACAGGACACAGAGAACTAAGGACATGATTACAGCAGAGTGGGACATAGCAAATGCTCTGATGTGGGGAAAGGAAGTTTCAGGCAGGAAATGAAGTCTTTCTGTATGAGATATCCTGTAAGTTTTCTGTAAGCTATGTCCCTGTGTTAGGTTCATGCCCAAAATGATCTGTGGGCATATTGGTCCTTCTGCCTTTGAGGACTGGACCTCTGAGAGCAAGGTCTCAAGTCTGTCTTAGGTCTCCCTGGGTCTTACTGAACATATTATGGGCTCATCAGGCCTTTGAGTATCTGTTCAAGATCACCCTGAACTCAGGTCTGAGCCTCTGCTCTTAACATCTCTACGAGCCAAGAGATAGATGCCCGTGCTGAAGAAATATGCAGACAAACTCATTGCTAGAACTTGGTGATGAGAACCAGAGCTTTTGTATCTAGACAGACTGACTGTCTCACTGCCCAGGACTTCACTGTTTCTGTTCACACCTTCCTCCCAATTCCAGGAAGAAATTGCCAAATATGATCGGATCTGTGAGGAGGCATATGGCAGGTCCAAGGATAAAAAGATCCTGCATATAAAGCACTGGCTGGATTCCCCCTGGCCTGGTGAGTGAGGAGCATGCAGCTCAATGATCCACCAAGCCTCCTTTCTCCCAGCACTTGGGAGGCAGAGGCAGGTGGACCTCTGAGTTCGAGGCCAGCCTGGTTTATGTAGTGAGTTCTAGGACAGCTGGGACTGCAGGGAGACCCTGTCTCAAAATGAAAAAAAAAAAAGAAAAAGCCTCCTTTGAGCATTGATGGAGGACCAGGCCTGGGATGGCTCTGGAGAGCAGTCACTGGAGAGCTAAAGGCCAAGACTGTGTACCTAAGATGTAGGTGTGGGCTATTCCTACAGGTGGATGTAGGCCATTGTGGAGGGAGGGGCATTAGAGTATGTGTGCTTAGGTGTTCTGGCAGGGACGAGTATTGGGGGATATCTGGAGCTGTCTTCTCAGATAACCTCTCTGGTGGGGCAGAACCAGGTCACCTGCCAAGGTCCAGGGGCATGTTGGGGGAGGAGCTATAGTTGTGGCTGTTTAGCTGTGGTAGGCCCTAAAGGCAGATATAGGTGTCTATGGGGACAAGGAAGCTGCATCCCCTCTATCCTGGGACAGCAGGCTGACCAGGGATGTCAACTGGGAACCCACCACCTGAGTGTACATTGAGTCCGTCTCCTTAGGCTTCTTCAACGTGGATGGGGAACCCAAGAGCATGACATGCCCTACCACAGGCATCCCTGAGGACATGCTGACCCACATTGGCAATGTGGCCAGCTCTGTGCCTCTGGAGGACTTTAAGATTCATACAGGTAAGGCTATTGTACCTGTTCTAGCACCATAACTCTCTCAGAGGTGACACTGTCCTACAGGGAGATCCATTGGGACAGCAAGGCAGACGAAGCTTGTGGCATGTCCCTGCTTAACCTCTTGATGTCCTAGTTCAGCTCTCAAAGCCTCATTTGGGCTCCTATAGTCCCATGTTACTAGCTCCTCTCCCAGTGGATGTGGGGAGTTAGGACACCACACTGGAACCGATTACCAGGGAGTGGTCTTAGATTGGTGCTTTGGATCTACAAAGGCAGTTTCTGGGGCATCCCTGGGCCAGGCAGGAGAGCAGGGAAGTAGGGGTTTCTATGAAGCGTGGAAGGGGACCTAGAATGTAGGCAGAATTATGCTGGCAAAGAGGACATGGGCCTGCCACTGGCCCTGTCATCTGCCAGAGGGCAGCCCCACAAGTTCCTGGCCTTGTGGTGGATGTTTGCTGACTACATCCCTTAGCTGTGGTCACCATGGCTTTTGCTTAAGCAGTCTGTGGGTCTTATGGCTATTGTAGGGTGTTGGTGTCTCCTCTAGATAGTTTGTGGAGCTCAAAGGGACTATCACAGTGTGCATAGAAGCCAGGTGGACTAAGACACTCACTGACTGCATCTGGGCTGAGTGCTGTGCTCTGTGCATATCATAGGGGTTTTGCTGGGTGTCTGGTCTTAACCTTAGTCTCTTCTTCTGGAGAACAAGGATAGCATAGGGTTGTCACAGAGAATCCTGACCCAGTGCATGAGTTTCTTCCAGAGAGAGAGAGAGAGAGAGAGAGAGAGAGAGAGTGAGTTCGTTCTGGAGGATGGCTGACCCAGACCAGCGAAAGTCTTCAGGGGACCACCTTCAGCCTTTGCTTAGCACTGAACACTCACCCTAGGGCCCTACTGCATCAGCTATCCAGACCAGTGGCCACGTTCTTGAGGTCCTCAGGCCCCCTTTCATCTCACAGGCCTCTCTCGCATCCTGCGTGGCCGTGCAGACATGACCAAGAAGCGCACAGTGGACTGGGCATTGGCAGAGTACATGGCATTTGGCTCACTGTTGAAGGAAGGCATCCATGTGCGACTTAGTGGCCAAGATGTGGAAAGGGGCACATTCAGGTGAGGCAATGCAGGCTAGGGCTCCGGTCCCCTGGGCTTTGGTCTTCTCTCATTTAGACCATAGATCTCATTACTCAGCAGTATGTGGGATGTCCCAGGGTTAGCACTGGGAGCCTGAAGGAGAGCTGGCCCTTCCTCTTCTAGGGACTCCTGGGCAGGCCCCTTGTCTGGCTAGGGTATCACTGCTAATCCCCTAAGCATCCACAGCCAGAACCAAGTTGTCAGCCTGCTGCTGGGTCCCTTTCCTGACTCCCAGGGCAAGTATGCAGAGCTGAGTGCTTGGCATAAGCTGTGGTTCTCGGGATCCTTTATTGCTGTATTCTGGGACCTGCTTTCAGCTTGCCTACCCCATCTTGCTTGTTGAATTTGGGGATCCAGATGAGGACTCACATTTCTTCTAGTTTAGGGCCTCAGATATTCAGAGTTGACTCGGTGTCAAGATATTAAGTCATAGTCAGTAGCTTCCAGGACCACAAGCTACTTTTCTGTCCCTGAAACTAATTTCTGCCAGTCTTACTTCAGAGACCCAGCAGCCACTGGGCTGTACCTGAGCTGCATGTCGGGTCTTGGACTTGGGGCTCAGCTATTTGGTCCCCTTACTGTTCAGCCTTGGGGTCTCTACAGTGGTTGTTGCATCCTCTGAGCTTGGACAGAGCAGGCAAGGTGGTAGAGAGGATGTCAGGATGGTAGGGGACAGTGCCCTAGGGATATGCCTGTTTCGATCTCAAGGTGTATTCTGCTTCTAGGTTGACAAGGCAGGGCTTATCAATTCCCTTTGTGGGTTGAAAAGACAAGAGGTGACATAACTTGAAGATCTAGGTCCAGTGCTCCAGCGTACTGTATGGGTAGCTGGCGGATACGGAGTAGGGCTGGTGAGGCACAGTGGGAACAGGGCACATGGCTCTGACAGCCTTTTTGGTGTGGCCATTGTATAAGTTTCCTGGGACATTGGCAAGACTTACCTGCCTGCCTCCTGCCCGGGTCTAGAGTGGGTGACAACCCATTTGCCCTTGTCCCTTCCCTGATCTCTCTCTCCCCAGCCATCGGCACCATGTTCTCCATGACCAGGAAGTTGACCGGAGAACGTGTGTCCCTATGAATCACCTGTGGCCTGACCAGGCCCCCTACACCGTGTGCAACAGCTCCCTCTCGGAGTACGGAGTCCTAGGTGGGCTGGGTGCTTCCTGAGATGCCTCAAGGACCAGAAACAGGCTGGAGGGACCAGGGTCAGGACCTGGAAGAGCAGGGGATCTCAGAGCTGGGGAAAGGGCAGAGATACTAGGGATATCCTGAGGATCAGTGGTTAGACCACCTTTACCTAGAGATACTTGCAAGATGAGATCATGTCCCACATGGGTCCCTCAGGGATCTCAGTTGCTTTGTGGAGGGCTTCTATATGTACTTGAACCCCTTCCTGGATACCAGCCAAAAAGGGCCTAAACAGATAGACCAGTAGAGTCCACAGCAGGACGTAAATCCTGACTGCCTGACCCTGAGCTTACATGTTCTTTAGCTCATCACCCCTTCTCTCACTGTTAGCTAGCATGCTTCCTTCTTCTTTCACTGCCTTTCCCTGGGGTTCAGCCCCACCCATGGGGAGCTGCCTCTGGGCCTGGGTATGCCCCTTCTCAGCAGCTCTGCACATACTTTGGGGAGTCTTTTTGGCTGATGGTCTATGTAGGCTCCTCAGGGTGTCTTTGGACTTGGCTCCTGGGCCAGGTAAGCTGAATTGGCAACATCGGGTGTAAGAGCAGGTTGCCCACTTCCAGGAAGGTATATCCAGGCCTTTGAGGCCAAGGAGCCCCTGGCTTTTCCTGGTCTGTTGGGAAGGATGGGTGAGGACAGAAAGTATGTACTAAGGAAGGGCCAGGTTCAGCTAGAACCACTGCTACTTGGTAACTGCTCTGAGCTCTGTCTTGTTGTCCATTGCCCAGGCTTTGAGCTGGGCTATGCCATGGCAAGCCCCAACGCCCTGGTCCTCTGGGAAGCTCAGTTTGGTGACTTCCACAACACAGCCCAGTGTATCATCGACCAGTTCATCAGCACTGGCCAGGCCAAGTGGGTGCGGCACAATGGCATCGTGCTCCTGTTGCCCCACGGCATGGAGGGCATGGTGAGGGCTGGAGGGCTGGCAACTCTGCAGGCCTAGCCTAGGAGGGGTGGATTGCCCCTTGACCCCAGGGAGGCCCTTCTAAGCACCTGGAGCTTGGGATGGGGGAAACAGGCTCAGACAGGGTTAATCTGCTCCATAAAGCCATCTAGGTACCCCAAACCTGGGGACCCTGCAGGGCCAGGGCTATCCTTTGGGGCCAGCCTAGATCATATTGAATATATTTTCAGGGTCCTGAGCACTCCTCAGCACGGCCTGAGAGGTTCCTACAGATGAGCAATGATGACTCAGATGCCTACCCAGTGAGTGTTGCCTGTTATCCCCAGATGGGGAGCAGAGGCTAGATCAGGGGTGCTACTCCTAGTCACCCGTCTCCACCACAGGTGTTCACTGAGGACTTCGAGGTGAGCCAACTCTATGACTGCAATTGGATTGTGGTGAACTGCTCCACACCAGCTAGCTACTTTCATGTGCTACGCCGGCAGATCCTGCTGCCCTTCCGCAAGCCAGTGAGTCGTCCCCTAACTCTGTCAGCACCATGACAGCGCAGGGGCTGGATGTGGAGAGCCCCAGATGCATGGGGGCCGCTAGCAGCTGGTATATGTTTCCCTTCTAGCTGATTGTCTTCACACCCAAGTCTCTGCTGAGGCACCCTGATGCCAAGTCCAGCTTTGACCATATGGTGTCCGGTATGTGGCTGGCCTGGGCATGTTGGGCAGCCTTTACTAGGAGTGGTGTGTGGCTTATGTGGTGCCTGGTGGCCAGTATGTGGTTTCTGCTCCTGGGGTTCCTCTGCCCTTCCCTGCTCTGGCTTCATTGGCCCTTCAGCAGCTCCTGGCCTGGTCCCCAACCACCTACCTCTGGCCACAGGGTTGGGAGACTGGCGCCATTGCCAGCTCAGATCACTTGGAATGAGCTAGCCCCCCTCAACCATTAGGAAGAGGTGCTGAGAGACAAGAAGCTGGTAGAGGGCTGCCTGGTTTGCTAGTTAGTGAATACCATTCATTCATTCACTCAATGTTTTCACTCATGAAACATTACTGACATTACTGGGAACCTGATACCCGCCCCCCAAAGCTCTCAGTTTCATCAGCCTGGGAATTGGGGGCCAGGTAAAGCATGTGAAGACCCAGGTGTTGAAGTTGAAGTGTGAGGGAGACACAGGTAGAGAGTGAGGGAGGCATAGAAGTGAAGCCTATGACCAACAGAGCAGAGCTGGCTTTGAAAGCTCCTGGGCAGTAAGAGGGACAGGGCTTGGTGAGGAAGGACAGCAGCATGGACAGTTGTTATTTCATCTGTGTGTGTCTAGTGTGGGAAGGGGGCTGTAGTTGCAGTTCAGAGCTCCTGCAGTGGGTCTGCACTCCCGGGCTGACTGGCAGCTCTTCCCCTTGGCAGCAGTTGCCCTCTGTGCCTCAATGTCCTTGACTGGGACATGGTGATATAGGGACACTGCAGTAGCTTCCTGAGAAGTTTTGTACCGTGCATGACATCAAAGGAGAAATGATCAGGTCTGGGAGATAGGGGCTTGGCTGCAGGGTTAGTTAAGGGAGGAAGAATGCACAATAGCCTTCTAGCAGCTGCCCACCGTACAGCTTAGCAGTGTAGCTGAGAGCCACATACGATGTGGGCACAACTGGAGGGGGCAGATCTGGAGCAAATTGTGGTGCCACGAGCTGGCTCCATCATGTCACCTCTCTCCTCAGGGACCTTCCCCATCCCCAGTACTCCATACCTTGAGTGTTGGTGTTCCTAGAACTCTGCTCTTGTTCACATTCCTGTCTCTACCCTTCTCTCTGTGATCATATAGGGTATCATCTGTCCTTTATTCCGTTGTTGGGATCAAAAAATGTCTAATGTAAACATAGCCTGACCCTTGGTCAGCTCAGTAGCCAAGAAGAGCCCAAGGATGCTTGGGGTACTCAGAGCCATTGCCCCTCTGGGTGCTGATACCCCTGATGTACCTGACCCGTCCCTTAGGAACCAGCTTCCAGCGGGTGATTCCGGAAGATGGCATCGTGGCGCGGTCTCCTGAGCAGGTGCGGCGGCTTATATTTTGTACGGGAAAGGTGTACTATGACCTGGTGAAGGAACGCAGCAGCCAAGGCCTAGAAGAGCAGGTGGCTATCACACGCCTGGAGCAGGTGCGCTGAGTCTCAAGCACTGGGAGTGATGGGCAAAGTCAATTCGCCAGCCCCGGGCTCTGAACAGTGTTCGGGGCAGGAGCGGAGAGGCTCAGGGCAGCCCTATGCATACTGCCCCTCCTTGACTATGCCTTTTGTGTCTCTGCCTCCCCAGATCTCTCCATTCCCCTTCGACCTGATCAAGGAGGAGGCAGAGAAGTACTCAAGTGCAGAGCTGGTGTGGTGTCAGGAAGAACACAAGAATATGGGCTATTATGACTATATCAGCCCACGCTTCATGACTATCCTTGGCCCTTCCAGGCCCATATGGTACTGGGCTGGAGGGACAGCTGTCTTCCTCTCCTCTCTGCTAACCTGCCTATGGCTTGTGGGCTTTGCGGCCCCATTGTGGCTTTGCCACCCAGAACTGGCCTCTGCCATTCTCTGGGAGGCATTTGAGCCCCTGCTAGCTCAGAGTATTCTTGTTCGCGAGTTTACCTTCCCTGTCAGGGTTGGGGCATTGCCAATGTTACTTTTAAGGAGAGCAACCCTCTATTTTTGTTCTGCTGCCAGGACTGAATTACAGACCCTCTTGCATGACTCAAACCTCCTTCCTTTAATCTTAGCCCCGAGCCTCAGCACTGCCTTCCCTCTGCCAGAGGATAAGGTTGGCTGTGTCTGTGTAGGCCAGTCTCCTGAGGTGCCTAGCACTTAGCAACCACTGGTGCTCAGTGCAGGCATTTTTGTCTTTGGGAACATAGAGCCAGGTATGAGAAATGCAGAGAAGCCAAAATTATGTTTGCTCCCGAAGTCCCCAGGGCCATATTTATTGTCACCATGGGCATGGAGAGGGTGGCTTCTCTTCTCTGTCCTGTGGCCAAGTTTGCTTTAGGCCTTGCAGTTTCCTGGGAGAAATACCCAGGCCGGCATCCCAGCTTCCTCAGATGTCCTACAGCCCTGAGGTGAGTGTGGGGTGAGAACGGTCCTTCCCTTACCTGTCTCTCCTCCTCCAGGTATGTTGGCCGGGACCCAGCAGCTGCACCAGCCACTGGAAACAGGAACACTCACCTTGTGTCACTGAGGAAGTTTCTGGATACTGCCTTCAATCTCAAGGCCTTTGAGGGCAAGACGTTTTAGAGTGGAGCCAAGCCTGCTCCATCTTGCTGAAGGAGGATGCCTGCAGATGGACCCTGGAGGCCAGAGGAGGGGTGATTAGGACCCCAGATGAACCACACTCATGTAGCAGTTGGGGCCATAGAGTAGCACTGCAACCTTTAGTATATGCAACTTTGGCCTTTGTCTTATATCAGAATCAGTAAGGGCTGGGAATTAGCATCCCCTAGATGGAGGGGATATAGTTGTGTTGTATTTGGCCAGCTCTGCTGACCTTTCTGGAATTTGTATGTGTGTGTGGGGCTTCTCCTTCTGTGTTGGTCTTGTCTCTGGATGTCCACCGGGAGCCGTGTTCCTCATTGCTCCCATCCTGGCAGACCTAGTTGCCACTCACCCCTTAGTCTTCATCTGTAGATTCAGAGACATTCTCTTTTGTGCTCTTAGAAATAGAGATGTCAGCAATATCAAGCAGGTGAAGCAATCCATGTGGGGCAATGTGTGTGTATCAGAGGTGTCCGCGTCTCATGAGATGCAGCACACTCATGTGAACCAAAGTAGAAAACCAAATAGAAATAAAAATATGCTTGAGAGAAATTTTCTATTTTCCTTTCATATAGTAAAGTTAGGGAAGGGGCAGCGGGAGTAACAAGGGTAGAGAATGAGGAAGAAGAAGAACAAACTTGTTGAGATTATTTCAGTCTTCTTAGAACAGATTTTCCTCTGAGCAGCAGGCAGGGGTTTCCTGGTGGTCTTTGGCTTCCCCATTTTTCAGTATTTTTGTTGTTGAATTTGTACCTACTATGATGCTGGGGGAGCTGTAGCCCAAAGAACTCTTTTTTTTTTTTTCTTTTTTCAGACATGACCGATTTATTCAGAGAATTCAAATTTCACTTGGCAAAATATATCCAGGGGCAAAGTGTGGGATTATTATGTCACTGGAAGCAATCACATTTTATACAGTTAATTGGCCACTGGGTGTTACCTAGAGGAAAGGCAAAACTTTTCAAGGTAATTTAGTGTTGGGGGTGATAATCACAAGTATCTGCAAAGGAAACAACTAGTTTATACAACTGAGGCATGAAGCAAGCTAACAGTAGTAATGACCCTTCAGTTTAATTCAATACACACTAAGGACCTAATTTGTGCAAGACACTGGGCTAGGTGTTGCAGTTGTGGTGAAAACACAAAGATCACCCAGACACACTCAAGAAGTTCACTAACAACATACAAAAAAGTGGTGTGGTACAGAAACGCTGTTCTAAGGCCATCGTGGATGGAGATTTTCTTCCTAATGAAGTTCAGCTGACATTAGGATCCACTTCAATACACTTAAAATGGTGGTGTGGGAAGGCAGCTGATAGCATGCTGAGAAAATATGGCATCTCTGTGACGAAAGGTCTGTTTCCTCCATGGCTATAAATGTATAAAAGGGGGAAAGAGTATTTAAAGGTAAAGTATTTTCTGTTGACTCATTTTAAGAAATGGATTAATAGGAAATGAGGATGACAGCCTGAAGGGGCAGGGAAACCCACAGGAAACAATTTCAGTTTGCATATGACTCCAGCCTGTTGCAGTTGTGCAAACACGGTCAAAGGGAAGATGAACCTGAGCAGTCTCTTCTGTTAAGACTACCATAGCTAGTTCTGGCTACTGCCAGTGCAGGACAGTACGGTTTCCCTTGAAACACTTCACAGAATGCTAAAGCCCATCATTTGGGGACAGGAGATAGTTTTTCAGTTAAGTATCTCATGATGACTTAGTATGTTTTCTATTCTATTTCAAAACAAAAATTATGGCGGACCAGTGTCTCTAGAATAAAAAAATGTAATGTTTATATTACACCTTAAAAATAATTTTTATTGAATATACTGCTGATACAACATCACAATTTCAGCCTTTTCAAATTATGTTAATTAGGGAATTCTTATAAACATAATATATAATCAGTTGTTCCAGTATTAGCCACCATCCTTAATTCCAGAGTTTTATACTTGTATAAAGGAAAACTGATTTATCTACTTTTTCCACAAAATTAATTCACCATTTAACTTTGGCTTTCTGCAAAGTTCATTTATCCCTTTCCCAGAGCACTTCCCTTGGAACTAGATGTCAGGGCCTCTGGGTGCAAGGTTACAACTTCATGCTGTCTTTTGAAATTCAAGTGTCCCACTTGGGAGATGTGCTTGTGATTCTCTTCCTTTTTTCTCCCTCCCTCTCTCTTCCCCTTCCTGTGGAACCCAACGTCTGGCACACACTAGCAGTACTCTACCATTGAGCTACACCTGTACCCCTGAGTTGGATGCTGGCATGGCCTGAGTAGAGCCATGATGCCCTTTTCTCACTATGCTACTAGAAGGCTGCAAGCAGACTGCAGGGACTTCCTGGTCAAAGGGAGTGAGTGCCCGATCACTCAACAGAGGAAAACTAACTGCATGAAAAAAAGGGCTCCTGGGGCTGGAGAGATGGCTCAGTGGTTAAGAACACTGACTGTTCTTGCAGAAGACCCAGGTTCCAAACCCAGCACCCACATGGCAGCTAACAACTGTCCATAACTCCACTTCCAGAGGATCCAGCAGCCTCTTCTGTACTCCACAGGCGCTGCACGACAGGTGCACTTACCTACATGCAGGCAATACATGCATAGACATAAAATAAAAATAATAAAATTTATAAAAAAGGGCTCCTACTCCATCCACCAAGAGCAAACTGAGAAATAAAATAAGCTCATGCAACAAAAAAGGGTTTAGATGAACAGTGACAGCTTTAGAAGGCAAGAAGAATATTGCTTCTATGATGTTATTAAAGAGCATTTGACAGACTAGTTTAAAAATAACCAGGTATTTAGAATGGTGTGTTTCAAATTCTGAAAGATCATAACTGCTACTGCAGCCCAACATACCCAGTAAAATTGCCATAGTTGAGGGTGAAAAACAGTTTTCATGGTAAAAACAGGATAAAGGAATTCTTGACTAACATGCCCTACAGAAGATATTGCAGGGAATACTTAGGACTAGAGAAAGATGAACATACTCAAGAGGCAACGAGGGGGAAAAATGATACTGAAGAGACTAAGAAATACCCAAACACTATGATGACAAGAATCAATACACACCTTTCAGTAATAACTGTGAATATTAAATGGTCTCAGTTCCCCTATTAAAAGATACAAACTGGCAGATTGGAATAGAAAACAGGATGTTTTTTAACCTCCAAGAAACACATCTCACTATCAAAGATAAACACAATCATAAGATAAAAGGTTGGAAAAAGATAATCCAAGCAAATGGAAACAAGAAACATGCAGCCACTATTCTAATACCTGAAAAAACAGGCTTCAAACAAAGTCTAGCCAGAAGAAGCAGAGTCACTTCCTACTGATCAAGGAAATAATCCATCAAGAGGAAATTACAAATTAAAAAAATATTTTGTTTATATTTTATGTGTATGCATGTATTGCCTGCATGTAGGTAAGTGCACCCATGTCATGCAATGCCTGCGGAGGACAGAAGAGGCTGTCAGATCCCCTGGAACTGGAGTTATGGACAGTTGTTAGCTGCCATGTGGGTGCTGG